AGGAATAAAAAAAAATAAAAAGAAGTAAAAAAAGAAGAAAGAAAAGTATAAAATAAGAGGGGGGGGGGGGTACCTTGCGGGGTGGGTCTTTGTGAGAGGAGGGGAGGGAGGGGCAGTGCGGTGCAGGGGGGGGAGGAGGACTGAGGGGAGGCGAGGCGGTGCGGGGGGCTGCACCGCGAGAAGGGCGCTTCGCCCTCCGTGCCGAGGATCCGGTTCTTCATCGGGTTGAACATGCGGCCGGTGTGGCCGACCGAGCGGAGCAACGCTACCTCGTGCGGCGCCATCAGGTGCGTGATCTCGCCGGGGTAGATGCCTACACACCGACTCACCCGCTCCCCCAAAACGAACAGGCCCGCTCGGCCGGCGTGGCGTCGCCGGGGCACACGCCGTTGATGTGCTCGCTGCTGCTCGCCTCGACGCGGGCCGTCTCGAAGAGCGGCGCGAGGAGGGGCAAGCTGCCGATCACGTCGGTCGGCGCCACGAGATGGTTCCCGCGGCCGTGCATCTGGAGGTTGGAGTACATGTTGGGCGCCCCCTGGTCCTGCAGCCCGAGGGCAGGCAGCACGAAAGCGTACAGCGCTGCGAGCGCCACCAGTCCGCTCCGAAGCCGACCGTGCAAGGGTGGAGGCATAGGGCCGCCCTCGCCGCCGCCACCGCCGCCGCCGCCGCCGCCGCCGCCGCCGCCATCGCCCGCAGCTCTCACGCCGCCGCCGCCGCCGCCGCCGCCGCCCGCCTCGGCGAGTGCGATCGCGCGCACTCCAAGTGTGGCGAGGGCACCTAAGGAGAGAGGGTTCCTAGAAGGTTCCGAGAAGGTTCCTAGAAGGTTCCTGGGAGCACTCCGACGGTGGCGAGGGCCACCAAACGCTGCCACCCACCAGTCGGCCACCCCTCGACCGAGCCGGCCTCCGCGCGAGTCAAAGCTGAGGGCGCGCAAGCACTGGATGCCCGTCGCCGCGGCTGCGGCTGCGGCCGCCAGCAGCGCCGTGCGCCTCCTCTCTGCCGCGTGGCGCAGGAGCGCCGTGAGCGCGGGCGCCTGCGTGACCAGGAGAGAAGGTTCCTAAAAGGTTCCTAGAAGGTTCCTAGACGGTTCCTAGAAGGTTCCTAGCGCGGGCGCCTGCGTGACCAGCAGGCGGGCCGCCATCGCGAGGGAGAAGGGGGTCGCGTTGTTCGGCGAGGGGGTGAGCGAGATGCCGAGGTGGAGCAGGAGCGCGAGGCACACTCCGAGCCTAAGGAGAGAAGGTTCCGAGAAGGTTCCGAGAAGGTTCCTGGGAGCAGGAAAGAAGAAAAACTCTCCGAGCCTCCGCAGCCGGTTCGATGCGGCGGCGAGGAGGAGGCCGATACACGCCTCTCCTCCGATGGTTGCGGCGGGGGCGAGGTTGCGGACGCCGAGGGCCACGGCGGGCGAGGGTGTGTACCCGAGCGTCGGCAGCAGCGTGAGGAAAAACATCGGCGCGCACGACGTGCGCGGGTCGAGGAAGGATGTGTTGAGCTTCCACCAGGCGGCGGAGGCGTAAAAGAGCGAGAGCTGGAGCCGGCAGATCTCGGCCCAGGAGCGGGCGACGGCGTCGCGGTCGGCGGAGGCCGCGCACAGCAGCAGCAGCAGCAGGCCGCCGTCGATCTGGAAGCACCAATAAAAGCTGTCCCAGCAGAAGGGCATGAGCATTGCCGTGTCGCACAGCCGGAGCGTCAGCGCCAGCGCGACGAGCGGCTGGCGAGGCGCCACCGCGGCGGCAGCCACCGCGACGCCGCAGGCGAGGACCCACGGTGACCAGGTCGGCTCGTGCAGCAGCTTGAGCGCCTCGTGCAGGCACCACAGCCGAAAGGCGGTGTCGAGGGTTGAAGGGCCGGCAGACGGCGGGGCCGACTTCGGAGCGGCGACCGCAGGCGCGGCGATGCGGTAGGAGGAGTAGCCGGGTCGGGAGGAGGAGGGCATCGGCGGCGAGGGCTGACTCGATACTAGCGCGCGCGTGAATTCTTTTTTGCCGACTGGCACGGGACTGGCGCGCGCGTGTGTGTCCAGCGTCCACCCATACCGCGTTGGTGTCCAGTCCGAGCCTGGCTGTC